TGAATGACCACCTAGAAACAGCCCTTGAAAAATTTTGGGAATCTCCCTCTAGCCTGGAAGGACTATGCATAAGTTTGAAATTCCAGAAAAACCAGTCAACTTATCGTGGTTCTGAACTTTGGTTTTTCTCTGATATCAGAGGACTTTCTCCTCTACCAAATGAGGATAACTGGGATTCTAGAAAGATTATGTATTGTTTTCACTTAGGTTAGAGGATTGAAGATTTTTTACATATATGTAAAAAATACATATGTGTCAGCACATGTATTATGGTCAAAATATTATATCTTGCTTTCAAAAATATAACCAGGATAATAAGCAAAGTTATTGTGTAATTTACTTTAAATTTTTATCAACACTTAGGTTGGTAAAGATTATAATTATGCTTTAGACTAAATCATACCTCTTAGAGAAAATTTTCAATTTATAAATGTGTTTATTATTTTGTTTCCTTAGTTTTGTTTCTATTAATAAAAAGTGTAACCCTCAAACTTGATATGGCAATAAATATGAGATTTTTTTCTCTAATTCAGTTATTCACTGAGATGTGGAAAAGTAGAAAACCCATATTTGGCCCTTAAAAAGCTTCAGTTATCTGAGAGCCCCTTTTCTTACATTATTAATTCTTTTTTCTCTCTAAAGTCTGTGCCTCTATGAAAATCACTGGCTTAAGGTGAATTAATGGTCACCTGAACACATGCAAATATTGTTTGCCTTTTCCCTCAGCTCAGACGAGAGCCTGGGTCTCAGTTTCAGCCGCGGGACCCTGGTGCTGGCTGCACCACCTCCTGTCTATCAGGTCCCAGGTCCACGTCTGGGAAATCATGGGCTGGACCAAGGGGAGAGAGATCTGTGACCTGCACCTCCTCGGTGCTTTCCAAACGATGATCCTTTACAACAACGGGGTGCATGCCGAATAAGTGCGGGAGATGCCTCACATTAGGTCCTCCCTTTTGGAAATTCCCAGGCGTATTTGCATAAGACTCTGAGAAGCACTGCCTCAAGGAAACACATTTAATTTTATTTAATCCATTGTTTCCCAAACCTGTTAGACCCTGGAACCTTTTCCCCAAATAACGTCACTGAATACCCCCCAAAACTAGTGTTCTGCAGAATGCACTTTGGGAGACCACCCCGTGGCACTGGACACATAGTAGGTACCTGATAAAAATGTCTTCCTTGGTTTTGGTCTCATGCCCAAGTACAGCACTAGAACTCCAGGGCTTCTGTCTGCTGAATCCCCCAACTGACGGCATTTCCAGTCAGGCCCCAAAGTCCAAGTAGGAACAGAAGATATTATTCCCAAACCAAGACAGTGGATGGGGCAAGGGGGAAGCCACAGTGCGTGTGGGTCTGCTATCCCCGGCCCAACTTCTGGCTGGAGCATGCTCGGGGCAAAGCACGACCACAGGCTGTAGCAGGTGTATGTGTGGGGGCGCATGCTCAGGCACGGCACGAGGGAGGCCAGCACTCAGTGCCTACGCCTGCCCCCCCACACACACATGCACGCACAGCCCCTCGGTGGAAACCTGTAGGGTTTACACACAGAGGGGTTTCAGTCACATGCTGTTGAAATTTAGCAGACGTCAAGGAGAGAGTCAGAACCACCGACAAGGAAAGGGAAGGAAGCGATATCCACCGGGGGCTTGTTTTCCTAGAGATGAGTCTGAAGGTCTGGGACCCGCCCCACGGAATGGCGTCATAAACAGAGAACAAGAAAGGATCTAAGAGATCCTGTGCTTCCACTCTCTCATTTTCCAGAGGGAGAACTTGAGGCTGAGACTTTGAAGTTAAATGGCTGCCCTGGCCAGTGAGTGCCAGATCTGAAAAGAGGGCTCAGGGCTCCTGATGCCCAGGTCGGGGGCCTTCCCACTGCCTGGCTCCAACACAGGGCTGACCACAGCTGCACACACGAGGGGCGTGACTGAGGACAAGGCGGGCAGAGACGTCCACAGGCTGTTCAATTTTGTTTCCCCGGCTTCTTTTTCTTCTTTATATTTCTTTAGCCTTAGATGATTATACATGTTTTCCCCACTCATACCTTATTTGAATATATTCTTCAGTGAACTGATATTTTTTAACACCTAGAAGTGAAACAAAATTCATAATTTTTCACTGTTTTCCACTAGACTTAAATCTAAAACTGTTAATTTAAATCTCTGGCTCCTACAGGTAGTATTGAAAGAAATCCCTTCACGGATATTTACAGGGAAACATTTCCTCAGTCAGCAAAGGTGTGCCAGGCACTGTTGTAGCCTTGGTGTTCGTGATGAATAAAACAGACTCGGATCCCTAAGCTTGTGGAAGTAACATCCTAGCACAGAGACTTGGGGCCGTAGACAAGAAATATAAAAGAGAAGTAAGATATGCTGTATGTTAGCACTGTGCTCCTCAAACTTTAATGTGCCTGCAGATCACCTGGGGCCTGGTTAAAGTGCGGCCTCTGTTTCAGTGGGTCTGGGCTGGGGCCCGAGGGTCTGCGTCTCTAACAGGCTCCCAGGTGATGCTGAACTGCTGGTCCTGGAAGCACACTGTGACAACAGTGTCTGAAGATGTGTGCAGCAGGTGAGCCCACTGCAAGGGGGAAGACGGGTGGCCTTGCTTTAAATGGGGTTGATCAGTGGAGGCCTCACTGAGATGGGACATTTGAGCAAAGATTCGGAGAAGACGAGATATGAAGGTTTCTTGGTTGGGGGTTTTCAGGCTGAAGAAACAGCCGGGACAAAGGAAGCTCACGTGTCAGCAGTGGAGGGAGGGAGAGAGCAGGAGATGAAATGAGAGCAGAACCAGAAGCACCAGGAGGCCAGGTTGCAGAGGCATTTACAGTCCACGCCAGAAGTTTCGATTTTACACTAAAGGAAGTGGGGAGTCATTGAAGTTGTGCGCAGGGCAACGCGCTGGCCTGACTTCCGTTTTACCAGCATCCCTCTGACTATTTGTTAAAAATAGACAGTTCTGGGCAAGAGTGGAAGGAAGGCCAGTTAGAGGCAGGGCAGAATTGTCTTCTGCCCTCATCCTTGGATGGAATGTTTTACCTGCTGTTGCCTTTCCCTGTGCTCACTCATATTACAAGGCTGAGCAGTCTGGGGTGCCTCCTTTTGTCCCATTCCCCCAGCCCCTAGTGCGGGTGATATCGGAGATGGAGAGGCAAATATGGTCGCTGAACTGGCCGGCAGCTCAGACTCAGTTCTGACGTTAAGCTGCCTCTCTGCTGCCCTGCAGGCGGCTTTGTATAACCACACACCCGGTGGCAGTAGGCTGTCAGCCTTCTCCACGGGAAGACCCAGATCAGCCTTCTATTTTCCACAGCATGCCCGGCTCCGTTCCCACTCCGTGGCGAGGCATTTCAGTCTGACTTATCCTGCCTGCACGGGACTCCCACTGCCTTTCCTGCTGCAGGATCCGGGGCCCGGCAGGCCTTGACTGGGCCCACTGCTGGCTCTGTTTTTGATCTGGTTCTGGTCCAGGGACACGTCTTCTTGATTTCCAGAACTGCTGTGTCCTTGTAGCTTTCTTGGCTTCACTTTGTCTGCCACTGCTGCGTGCTTGGAGTCTGGTGGGGCAGGGGGCCATCTCAGAGAGGCAGCTGCCCTGCCTTCTGGATCAGACGCCTCCCTGCTCCAGTCTACTTTTAAACAAACTGAATTTTCCAAACACTGTGATTTGTATTCACCTGAAACCCACGATTCTGCAGTTTCCACGCGCTGGTCTTAGTTGTGAATTCTTGAGCCAAGAAAACGTCTTGAAACTCAAAGGAAAGGTACTAAAATGAAATAATTTTTACCAGTCACGCCATAGACTCACAGAATGTTAGAACTGGAAGGGTCTTACATGTCACCTGTTTATGGCTTCGTTTCATCAATGAGGCATCAGAGAAGGGAAGAAGTTTTTCTAAGATCACACAGTGGTTAGTGGCTGACCCAGGACTAGAACCGAAATCCATTGCTTTGCCCATCACTCCGCAGCCGCAGGGGCATGGCCTCAGTGCACTGAGTCACGAGCACCGCAAGTTAAAACCACGTGACCCACATAACTTGCCACATCAGTGTCCTTGCTGCTCTGCCTTCTTAAGACACTTTATCACAAGGTTCCCTTGTTATGCACACTGATTTTTCCTCCATTGATGTTACAAGTGAAAGAAATATTCTGACTTAAAAAGAATCAGAGCTTTGCTTAGAAATAAACTCACAAAATAATAGTTGGGAAATTTCAAGTTAGTGAGCATATGTTAAGATATTTAATTATTCCTTTAATTAGATGAAATAGTTTGGAATGTATTTGCCAGAATAAAACTACTAATGTCTAGTAATTTTGTGTTTTCGATTGATATGAAGATATTAATTCAACTTAGCAAATTGCTCTACGTAAAGAAGTGTTCGTTACTGAGCACACTGATTATTAACACATATATCTTGCATTCGTGCCATGCTTTAAACTTTTCAGACTATTTTAACTATATTTTTTATCCTTTAACCTTATAAAATCCTCTGAGATAGACAGTGTTTGTTTTAGTATTCCCTTTTGAAAGATGAGGAAATTAAGGCCTGGAAAGAATCTATGACTCATTTAAGATTATACATCTAGTTAGCGGCAGAGCCAGGATGAATCGTCAGTTTCACGTCTCCTATCCATGCGATCTTTCCAGAAGACACAAGTTATACAAGACTGGGTCTTGTCCTACCTGTTTCAGTGTTCCGTCTCTGATGCTAACACCAAAAAAAGAATATTGTATAAGAATATGAGCACCCTGTTGACACCATGCTTGGTGATTACGATTTATAACAAAGTAGTTTTACCTCCCTTGTCATCATCTCGGATTCCTCATTTACTCCCTTAAATGTTGACTGAATACCTACTCTGTGTGAGCAACGCGTTTTTGTCTTGTAGATCATTTTAGTAGCCCATTAAAGTCTTCCATCTAGTGGGAGAGTTGAATTTGCCGGTGGACTCAGGAAGTTGTCCCTCTATTGGCTTGAATAGCAAAAGACACTAGGGTGGAATTGTGCCTGTTTTCCTCCCAACTTTATTTTAAAAATTTTCAAATCTAAAGGAAAGTTAAAAGAGGTGTACAATGAGTTTCCTTACACCCTTTAACATTTTATGACATTTGCTGTATCTTTCTATTTATGGGGGTTTGGCTGTTGCTGTTTTTTGAACCGTTTATCAATAGATTGCAGACTTCATGACACTCCATCCCTAAACACCTTGGCACGCGTCTCCAAGAAGAAGGGCATTCTCCTCCGTGGCCACATTGTCTCTGCTTTCAGTCCTGGGGAGAGAATCTTTGCTTGCAGAGAGGGAGTCGAACCAAGCAGACCAGCTCTTCCCTCTAAATCTCCCCATCTGTCTCACACAAGCCCTGCTTCAGCTGTCTGGATTCCTCTCTTCTTTTAAGAAGCGTTTTCTTTTCTTCTCCCCAGAGCCCCAGGGCATGGTTGTATGTCCTAGTTGTCAGTCCTTCTAGTTCTTCTGTGTGAGCTGCCACCACAGCATGGCATGGACAGACAGGTGGTGTGGTTCCTCAGCCGGGAAGCGAACCTGCGCTGCGGAAGTGGTGAGAGTGCCGAACTTTAACCACTAGGTCATCAGGGCTGGCTCAGATTTCTCTCTTTTTGAATCTTATTATGTAATCTTATCTCAGTGCTTACTTGAAAACAATCACGGAAAGAGGAAGCAGAAGACAGAGCTTGTATTTATAGACACAAGGGGTCTTAGAGTCACAGCAAATGATGGAGGAATTGGTTCATAATTTTTGAACCTGAGTTTGTCAAATCATTAGTGCAACACTTGTCTGGGCCAGGGGAACTTGCAACTTGTTCTCCCTCTGGTGGAGTCAAGAGAACAGTCCCACTGGGTATGTCCCCCTGTTTGCTAGGATCCCAGCCACTGCAGGAATCAGCCTGGATTTCCTGGGCTGCATGCATCAGCTTACTGAATTTGGCTGGTCTGTGTGAACTTACACAGACCCTCCTAGATTCCAGGGACAGGTGGTCCTGGAACCAGCTGCTCCTCTTGCATTTTTCCTGAGTGCCTGAGGGTCCGTGGAGCCCTGCTGGTGGTGCCGGGCGAGGTTCCTGTGAGTTACTGTTTCATGTCCCAAGCTTGTCTGAATAGTTTGTTCTACAGAGAATTTACACTTTATAAGCCCAAGTTTTTTTCTGTGCTGCCATCTAGTCCTGAATTTGGAAGTACGTCCTGGTACCTTCAAGGAAGTGGGTTGGCCCTGCTCTCGGGGCACTTAAATATGTTTGGATTTTCGCTCTCCGGGCCCTATCAAATGATTGACATTTTAAGGTGATGAGTCAGGTAAGAAGCCTCAAGCATTAGCCAACGGCATACCTCAGAGGAGACAGCATGAAGATGGTCCCAGGAATCTCTGGAAATCTTACAAGTATTGCATGAGACCAGAGATCCATAAATCATTCTGACAAAATTACAGGGCAGAGTTAAGTCTAGTCTGGGGTCTGTATTCTTCCCCCACGGTTTTACTGAGCTGCAGTTCATGTACAGAAACTGCACGTATTTGACGTGCGCAATTTGATATTTGACCTATGAATGTACCTGCGAAACCATCACCACAATCAAGATAATGAACGTGTCCATCACCCCCAAGTTTCCTCATTTTTAGAATTTTATGTAAATGGGATCATGCCATATGTATTCTGTTTCTGGTCTGGCTTCTTTCGCTCAGCGTAATCACTTTGGATCTGGCCACATGGCTGCAGGTGTCAGCACACGCTGCATCGCTGAGGAATGGGCCCTGGCGCCACAGCTTGTTTGCCCGTTCACCTGTCGGTGGGCGTTAGGGTTGTTTTCAGTTTGGGCTGGTACATAAAGCTGGTACGAGCACTTGTGTACAAGCCTTTGTGTGGACACAAGCTTTCATTCCTCCGGGGAGAATGCCCATGAGTAGAAGGCTGGTCATAAGGAGTCACTTTAGAGTAGCTGACAAACTGGCTCCCAGCGGTCCTACCATTTTACATTCCCACCAGCAGTGTGAGAGAGCTCCAGTTTGACCAGTCTTTTTAATTTTGGCCATTCCAATAGGTGTGTGGCAGTATCTACACAATGGCTTTATTTTGCGTATGGGGCTGTATTTAAAAATGTAATTTAGAAGGGCTGGCCCCGTGGCCGAGTGGTTAAGTTCCCGCGCTCCGCTGCAGGTGGCCCAGTGTTTCGTTGGTTCGAATCCTGGGCGCGGACATGGCACTGCTCATCAGACCACGCTGAGGCAGCGTCCCACATGCCACAACTAAAAGGACCCACAACAAAGAATATACAACTATGTACCAGGGGGCTTTGGGGAGAAAAAGGGGAAAAAATAAAAAAATCTTAAAAAAAAAAAAGTAACTTAGAACACAAATTCTAGGATTATCAGCTATACTACAAATGTACACATACCTCCAAGTAAGGCACTCACGACCCTGCAGTCCTGCTTTGTCGTCTAAGACAAAGCTGTGAATACCCCGCTTCTCCCAGGACAGAGCTGCTCGGAGTGGAGTGTGAATAGTTGCAGTCACGTGATCAGGTGGACCGGCTGTTCCTCCGCGCTCCCTTCCCAGGTCCTTGTCGCGTCTGTGGCGCATCTAGACCTACACGCGCCTGCAATGCTTGCTGGCGGCTGCCGCTGCTCCCTGAGCCGCTCTGTCAGGCGCGAGACTGTCCCCGCGCCGTGCTGCCATCGGCAGGCTTCCCCTTCCAGGGCCACAGCTGCACCAGGCGCGGGGCTTTTCCGGCTGGTCCCCTCGGCCTGCTGCTTCTCTTATTGCTGTATGAGCCGTTGCGTTTCCTCCCTGGTGGCTGCCCCTGCTCGCTCCAGCCCCGCCATCCGTGCGCTGCGCCCTGGAAACTGCAGGGAGCCTTGCCGGGCAGAGGGACTGACTTTCTCTCCTTTACACATAGCCTGTGGAGGGGCCCTGAAGCTGCCTCAGAGGGTCTCTATTTTTACCTAGGGCCCTCTCTCCCTTGAAAATACACACTCACTTTACGCATGATGAAAACTGAGTTTCAGATTGTGTAAGTGATTTGGCCAAAATTACCTCTTGAGAAGATAGTAGAGACAGGAAATAAATCCAGCATGAAACTCATTCCGCTAAAAACACGTCCGTGTTTGTGTATGTATGCAAATACATTCATCTATCCACTTAAACTTGCAGCACATTATAACATAGGGACGCCACCGTGATTTTAATGCCATTTGGTTAAAAAAAAAAATAGGTAGTTCAAGACAACTAATAATCAGTTTCATCATGCTGATTAGTTATAATTGATAAAAACTGCAGAAGAGTGGCTTGCACTCTGCTTTGGCAGCCCGGGTCCGCAGCTTCAGATCCCAGGCACAGACCTACGCTATTTGTCAAGCCACACTGTGGTAGTGACTCACTTATAAAGTTGAGGAAGATTGGCACAGATGTTAGCTCCTAATCTTCCTCAGGAAAAAAAAAAAAACTGCCAAAGATAAGTCATGGAAAATAAAATGAACTTTTAATGAGCAATAGTGTCAAAGGTTAAAAAAAGCAATTAATATTAAACACAAATGTTGAGGAACGTTGTTCTTCGGTTTTTATTTTTCAAAAGCCACACTCAGCAGATCTTCACTAACTTTTTTTCTTTCTGAGAAAACAAAGTGCCTTTTTTGTACTTAATATTAGCATGGTTACTATAAATGATGAAAATGAAAAGCCTTATTTTTATTGTTGGGAAATCTAGTAGTAGAGTGACACCACTGAGAACTCATACAGAAATTGTTGATTTTCAAATCATTTTGGCAACAAAAATTACCTGAAACCTTAAATAAATAGTTGCATATCTCCCAGAGCTCAGAAACTTCTGAGCTGAACAAAGGGGGCCCTTGAAGCTAACAGGTGATTTTCCAGAGCTGTGACGGGCAGCTTTATTGGGATGTGGGCTCTCCAAGCTCAGAGGCATCCTCACGGCGTATTATTAGTGGAATCTAAAGAGAGGGTGTAGCCCAGTGGTGACAGAACAGGGTTAGGAACACGATTCCTCCTTTCTCAGTGTGGGTCTCCGCAGGGCCCACTGCACAGGCTTTCTCGGTGTGTGGTCCATGAGTCGCCTAAATCAGAAGCTCCTCGGTGACTTGGGGATTCAGATTCTGGGCCCATGGTGCCCCTGAATCACTGTCTGATGGGGCCAGGGAATATGCATTTAGGAAAATCTCTTAAGGGGTGGCCGGCCCAGTGGGGTAGTGGTTAAGTTCACACTTAACCTTGAGCAGCCCAGGGTTTGCAGGTTTGGATCCTAGGCACGGACCTAGCACTGCTGGTCAAGCCACACTGTGGCAGCATCCCACATAAAGTAGAGGAAGATTGGCACAGGTGTTAGCTTAGTGACAATCTTCCTCAAGCAAAAAAAAGAGGAGGATTGGCGGTGGATGTTAGCTCAGGGACAGTCTTCCTCACACACACACACACACAAATCTCTTAAGGGCTTCTTGTCCATTCTGGAGTGTAAGAGCCCCCATCACAGGAGGCATTCTTGCTCGAAATGTCACAGAAGCTGGCAGTGAGACGTAGCAACAGCTGGAGAAGAAAGGGTTACGGCTTTAGGCAGACATTGCAGTACACACACCGTATGTTCTAAGGAATCTGATGCTGAGTGTTGCGTGTGGGCACAGCCCCACAGTCTGCAATACAGCGTCACCCTTTGTAAACAGTTCTCCACCTGGAAACCGGAACCACATACACGCGAGTAACACAGTTCAGGCCCTGAGCCCCGCAGAGGAAGCTCCCTGTGCAGCCGCCGCGAGCTGTGCTGTCACCACACCGGGCGCTGGGAAAGCGCGGCAGACGCGCTGCCACCCGTGCAGGCGGTGACTGGGGCGGGTGGGCCCTGCGGAGGCGCCGAGAGCTACGTCGGCGAGGAATTCCTGCTCTTCGACTCTTCTTTTTTGTTGCTCTTATACTAATTGAGAAATTACTTAAATTCAACTTGGTATCCACTAAGAGCTTGACACAACTTAAAATTTCCATGTATTTTATTCAGGAACCGATAGCCAATCAGAGCAGTGAGCCTAGCGCCGCGTGCCGGACGCCGGGCGGAGGCTTGACTGATTGGCCTTCGATGACATTCACAGTCCCACGGGGAAGGACCGGAACTACCTTATGTTAGAGGCAAGGAAACAGGTTTGAGAGGCTAATAACAAGCTCATGCGTCTTGTAAGTCATAGGACCCAGCGCCGACCGCGCCCGTCCACCTGCCCAGCGCGCTGGGCGGGCCGCCCCTGAGCCGGCGAAGGTGCACGCTGCGCCCGCGCTCCCGGGGGACTCCAGCCGCGGACATCCTTCCCACGCAACACGTTCATGGAGGATCTACAGTGTGCAAACCCGTGGGTCAACGCCCAGTGTTTGTTAAACTGAACGGGGCTGCGCTGCAGTTCAGAAAGCGGAAGTCGGCTGAGCAAGGAGCCCCGCCCTCCGGCACGAGCCCTGCCCCCAAAGAAGAGGGCGAGAGAATGAGCGGCCGCCACTCGAGGTCAAGGCTGAAATGCGGGGAATGCTAACTGCATAGGCTGTGAGAGTCTGGCAAAGGGGGAAATTAAGCCTGCTCCGCGGGCTGCTCTCTCTGAGACCGTGGCAAGCACGACGGTGTCCTATTGAAAACAGTGTGGAAAGCTGCCTAAATGTTTACTAACAGAGGACAATTAGATAAATTATGTACTCACACCATGTAATATTAAACTGCGATTTGAAATTCTGCCACAGCAGAAAAAGGGCTGTTGGTGAGGAAAGATGTGCACCGTCCAAAAGTGAAAACCAGAACAAAATAAAGTGAAAGTATCAGGTTGTGTCGACGAGTTTCCCTCCAAAATTGGGTGGGCCGCATCCAATCAGTTGAAGGCCTTAAGAGAAAAGAGCGAAGTCCTTGGAGGAAGAGGGAATTCTGCCTCTGGACGGCGACGTCGAAGTTCTGCTGGGGCTTCCAGCCTGCCCCGTAGACTCTGGACTGAAGATCGCAGCATCAGCTGTCACCTGAATGTCCCCACTGCTGGCCTGGCTGTGGGGTGTAGACTTGCCAGCCCCACAAAGGAGTGAGCCAAGTTTCAAAAGTCTCTTTTTCTCATTTTCACTCTCTCTCTTTCTATTTCTGTCTCTTTCTGCCCCTCTGTCTCTCACTCTGTGTGTGTATTAGTAACAATTATTGTATATTAGTGTAACTATATTGTGTTTATTATAATAATATGAGTGTTGTTGGTTCCGTTTCTCTAGAGGACCCTTACTAAAGCAGCAGCGTGAAGGACCCATGGGGATCCTCTTTACCAGACCTTTCTTTAAAGACGAGGAAAGGCACGTGAGGAAGGAGTTGGGTATTTTCACAGCATTTGCTCTTTCCCTCCGTGTGTAGGATCTAATATATCCTCACAGCGGCCTCGGACCCGGGAGTTGGCATCATTTTCTCTGAGCCAACATGCTTGAAAGAGAGTCTCACCCCGCAGCAAGCGCATCTCCCTGAGACGGGGTCTGCGTGTGGCGGGTCTTCTCTGCA